CCCTTTAGAAGTGTGTGATGGCACCTTTGATAGGAGTATCAGTTCTCTCTGTCCTGTTTACTGTCTTTTTCATCTTCAGAGCTATGTATTGACCTAGGTCCAATATTAAGAATTAAAATTATTTCCTTGAAATAATCTTTTAGCAATTGACAGAGGTTTTTTTAGAATTTTCTGTACAGTGAATCAGTCACACTGCACTATACAGGATTGTATATTCTAACAGTAATTATCTAGCTAACTTGTAAAATTTCACAAGAAAGGTCTTGTAGTAATAATTTACAGGTTATCATTACATCTCATGAAGGCAAGAATTTACTTGATCGTGTGATTTGGAACTGCTAACATCTGCCTGAAAATGAGTCAAGTTTGGAAAGTTAGTAAATAAGCTTTTTGGAGTACAGGTCAGAACCATATTTCATGCTTAATAAATAACTTCATATAATTTAGGATTGTAACAAATGTATTTTAAAGCTTGTCTGTATGTGATCATCGGATTGTAATTTTTTTTCATCTACTTTGTGCTAGCAGTGTTAAATCTAGAAAAAATTTCTGGAGAGCATAAAGTAAGATATTCCCACAAGTCTTTTAAAAGAACCCTTAAACCTATGCTATAATAGTAACTATGTTAACAAGTTGTTCAATTTGGTAAAGCTTTTAGTATCAAAAAAGCTTTTAAACTCAAATAGAATGTCTGAGTGTAAAAAAAAAAAAAAAGTGGTTTAAGGTAGTTAAAGAATACACTGACTGACAGATCAGAAAGTTAACAAATTATGCTTGAATAACATGTATATGTTGCTGCTAGAACTGTCATCTCCTAGCTTTATTGTTAAATCTCTATGTAATGTGTGATATGAAATACTGTCCTGCATATACAGAATGACTCTTTGCAGTAACCTAGATTTGTTTGGCTGAGGTCTGCAATAGAAAAATTGACCTGAATTTACTTTTTCATCTTAAGTTTCAGGTCAGTCAAACTGTTTAAAATTCATAGTGCAATAAATCTTCTGGCAAATTCAAATTTGTTCTAGTGTTTTGGAAACAGTTTAGTCCAGCTTTTTTGCTAGATCACCAAGTATGTAGAACTTCTTGTGGCAAGAGTGCATTATCTTACTGGGACAACTTTTTTTCCAGAAAAAATAACAATTTTGTAACTACAGCATAAAAACTGTGATTGGGATTATTACACTGTCAGAATGTTGTCGTCAGCTTGACTTTGTAGCGGGGACAGAACTTGTCAAACTCTACTTGTGATCTCTTATGTCTTCTTTTTGATTTTTCTAGGCTGCTGAATATGTCCCAGAAAAAGTGAAGAAAGCTGAAAAGAAACTAGAAGAAAATCCATATGACCTTGACGCGTGGAGCATTCTCATTCGAGAGGCACAGGTTTAGTGACATAGGATTACATTTCCTTATCTATGGTCCACTCACACTATTTGGTTCTGGAGTAAAATCAGCATATTCATTTACATAAATCATAATATTGTAAATGCTGTTTTGATTTTCAATTTTTAGAATCAACCTATAGACAAAGCACGGAAGACCTATGAACGCCTTGTTGCCCAGTTCCCCAGTTCTGGCAGATTCTGGAAACTGTACATTGAAGCAGAGGTTAATATTTTTACATTTTTTTCTTATATAACATTTAATAGGAGTTTAAGTTTACACTTTGATAAGCATAAATAAGATAGGTACATAATATCTAGGGTAAAGGGGATTTTAAATATGCCTTGCCTTTATTTTGTAAAATAGGTACAAAGGAGTGATTAAAATGAATTCTAAAGTATTGGGTCTTTTATGAGTTGATGATTGTTGCATTATGGAATTGCAACAACATTAAAACCGTTTTAATGGTATTGGAGTGCTTTAGCCTTTTATTTACTTGTCGTGTCAATTTATTGCCTCCCGTGTCATTTATTTAGAGGACTTTTTTTTATTTATACGTACAAACTTATTTGAGTGGCTTTCTGTGAATGGATCTTTTAATTTTTTTGCTTCCTTAGGGAATTGTTTCTGTGAACAGTGTTTTCAGGGAGGGTGTGGGATGGAAGCTGATTTCTGGAATGGAATCCTGGGAAAATGCATTAGCACAACTCATTAGCTTCTAAAAATCCCAACAAAATTGTGATTATTTACATAACTATATAAAACTTCCCATTAAGTGCATTGATCATTTAAACAATCTTTAACGACATGCCATGAAATGCACTGAATAATTGGATATTTTAAAAAAATTTTCTGTAGCTGATATTTAATACTAATACACATGCATTTTGTGGGGATCTTCTAGCTGCACATTTTTCTTGAGACAGATCTTCTACATGCGGAATTATGGGGGTTGAGACTTGTGTTCTGTAGATAGAAATGAGATAGCTATTTTTTTTCCATTTTATGTGAGAATTGCTGAGCAGCAATCTGAGTAGCCAAACTGCATTGTATAGCTATCATATCTTATTTTACATTAAATTACATATCCGAGTGTGTTCTGGCAGTAAATTTTAAAGATTCTTAAATAAAATTGGGATTGTGGTAATCTAACAAATTTTTATATTGTAGTTTATAGTAAGATGTTATAGTGCAACCTAAATTTAATATTACCTAATTAAATATCATAGAATTTTCACTATTTTGTTTCCAGTAGTTTGTAGGAGTAGTTGGAATGTCTGTGATTGGACATATTTGGGATATTGTGAATGCACTAACACATACAGATGTGTATTTTTCCTCTTGGGACCCTGCAGCCAAATCCATTAGCCTCTTGTACCCTGCGATGTTTGCTACAGGATCTAGTCTTTAGAATCTAATTTAGTTAGCTTACATTATCTGTTTTCTGTGTTTATTTAAAACCTTTATCTTTCCCATGCCTCAGATTAAGAGTTAAATAAGACCACCTCAGAAAGCCTGTACTACATTGTAGGTCTTTCAGCGTGAAGTACTATTATCAGTGTAAAGCTTCTTGTCTTGAACCACATTCAGAGATGAATTGCCAAACATTACCTCCCTTAATCCATACCTTTTAACTAATTTATAAGTAGTAGTATTTAGAAACATTAACAGTGGCAAAGCTTAAAACAGGTCTAGGGTATAATTTTTTTACATGCTCCTTCAAGGAAGGAAGATCAGCCTCTACCCAGCAGGTATGGTAACCAGGTAACACAAGGTAAATTTGAAAAGGAAGGAATTGGCATAAAGATCATTAGCTTGTGTGTGTGTGTCCGCCTGTAACTACACTTAAATAAGATAAAAGATAAGAGAAATTGAGTATATGATTCTGTTATCCAAAACAATGGAAAAACATGAACTGTAGAGTTCTGGTAGAGGTTACACTTGAAAAGGGTTGTATTTGAAAGAAATATAAGAAGTTACTTTTTAGAAATTTCTCTCTCATCTTAGGCAATTTTTTAAAATACCAGTTACGACTTAAATTTTCAACTCTTCTGGTTCCAGTAATTTTTCTCAAAACTCACATAGTGACCAATTTAAAAAGCAGTGTGATTATCTCTGCCTCTTTTAGTATGTGTAACCATTTATAGCTATAAGCTTCAATAACTTATTTTGAAATTCCTCTCTAAAAATACATATTCACACAATTGGGCACTGTTGTCAGTGTTTTAAGTTACATATCATATGTACAGTCCCATCTGAGAGTAAATTCAAAATGAAATGTTTTCTCAAATGTTCTTTTAACAGCTTGGTTGAATATTAGTCAAGACTTCAATTAATTTTGTAAGGCTATCTGAGATAGAGGAATTGATTTGAGGTTTGTTTTATTGCAGCCTCAAGATGTACAAGGAACGTAGGGAAGGTATTTTCCAAAAGCCTTTTTCCTTGGAAATCTTAGTAGTCTCCTCCTGCTAGAAAGTTTCTCTTGGACAATTCAGAAGTATAGATCTTTCCAGCCTTGAGTTGGGAAAGTAAACCTGTGGTAAATCTTTAACATTGTTTTTGATTCACTGTCACTGCCTTGGTATTTAAATCTGAAAATTGCTGAATCTTCAGTCATCTGTAAGCTGGTTGTCAAAACAAGCATATCATTTTTCTCTTTAACGTGATAATGTTTGGTCTTTACATCACAGACAAAAAGGGAGAGGAGAGTGGTGGGGGGTTCTGGCAGGTGGTCTTTCAGTACAGAATTTTGTCCTCTGAATGACATAAATCTGAGCTAAATATCATTCCATAGTGTTATTCTATTATTGGAAGATGAGCTAGGGTGAGGGTTATGATTATGGCCTAACGAAAAAGGAAGTAGCCCTTTAACAGCTGTATTCTTTATAAAATTGTTAGAAACTTTTAAATTTCCTTTTCCCTAACTTGAGGAATGTGTTCTTTTTAGTCACTTCCAATTTTCAAGTAGAAATCCTTGTTTATAATCAACATGAACAAAAGCTGTTTCCTTGCATATGCCCATTCATTTTGTGATGTAAAACTTCTAAGTGCAAGCCTTACTGCTGTGATTACCTCTTGTTTTTATGCCAGTGTTTGTTCAGGTCCCTGACTCTGTTTTCCTTTTTGCGTATGACTTTGTTCCCTAGTAGAACATAGTGTAAAGCAGTGCTCAGCACTTCATCTATCATCTAACTTTGTGCTATTGATACACAGACTGTGCTGAAGTAACTGAATACTTCATGTTTCCATTTTATGTGCCAAGCACCAATTTATATGCTCTGGCCTCTCTATTGTGACTGATTTGGTAGTCAGTAGAACATGGAAGTTAGTTGGGAAGAGCATGCTTTCACAGCTTGTTAATGGGAACTCTGCTATTAAAGTTTGAATTGGTCAAACATTTTGGATTCTCTCACTGTTTCTTATTTCTTCTGACATTCAAAGAAGCAGTTGCAGGACACAGAAATAATAGAATTGGATGAAACAACTCTCAGCTCACAATGTTTTTGGGTCATAGCATTTGAATGCTTAAGACTTGTGAGAATAGAGTTTCATTTAGGGAATTTGACAGACTATGTAGTCTATTTTTGATACGTGTTTTAGCAAGTAAAATAGTTAACTTGCTATTCTGGATCTACTAAAATTTAGGAAGTGGTACAGTAATGACACTCTTCTTACTCAGACTCTTGTTTTCTTTAGTTGCTTAAAGCACATTTTTCTCTTGATATCTTTCCCATAAAAATCTGCTTCCAGAAAACTTGAATCAATTCACGTCAGTGCCTCTTTCACAGTTTTAAAAAGGAGCGTGTAAGTCTCCCACATGTGCCATAATGTTAAATTCATAGATCACATGATCTGGATTCTAGCCTGCTCTGCTGATTTGCTGTGTCTTCTTGGGTAAGTTATTTAACCTGTTTTGCCACTATTAAAAGATACCTACCTACCTCACAGGGTTGTTGTGAGGCTCACGTAGTCATTAAAGTGCTTTTGGCATCTGGCTAAAAGGTGCTACAGAAATGTAAAAATAAATCCTGATGTAATATACCCTATGATCCCATAGACCCCACTGTCTATTACTATTTCCTTTGTCTCTTTGTTTGAACCATCTTTTAGATACAGAAAGACTTGATAATGCTTTTCATGCACTTGAAAGAGCTTTTACCAGCGTTGTAAATGTTTCAGTAGTTCTGAAGCAAGCATTTGAAGTTGTCACCTTTTTCTCTGCTAGTTTCCTTGAGAAATCACCAGGTTGAAAATCCTCTTAAGCACATTATTAAACTTATGTTCATGTATTTGCAACATATTTTATGATCCAAAGAATTTTTAATTCCAGTTGCTCTAAGTGGGAACTTTAATCTGTAATTGTCCTGAATGTTTCAGGCCAGTTCACACCACACCTTTTTACCTCTTTCGTTGTTGAGTTTATTGCATTATATCCTGATCACTTTGAACTGTTGTTAGTAGGGGTTGAAAAGTTGCCATCATTAAAGATCTAAAAATCATAAGCACAAGACAGTTGTGACAAATACCCCAATCCTAGAAACAATAAATACAAAGCTAGTAACATGCGTGTAAAGTGTTTGGCTGTTAATATGTATTTTTTGTCTTGCGAAGTTTGCAAGTAAGACTCTTGTGTTATTGCTTGTTCTAAAGAAATGAAACTAGATATATTTGTTCAGATAACTTCTATTTGATATGAACACTGAATTTTAGATGTCTCAGTAACAAACCAGATGCTGTATGAGGATTCAGAGGGTGGGACCAAAGCTTAGGGTTGATTGTTTTGCATTTCATCATATGCAATACATCAGTATCTTTAATTCATGTAATTCACACTGGTGTGGATACTAGTCAGAATGTATCATTTAACGTACTTGTATATGAAAAATGTAAATAAAACCATTTAGAAAAATGATTGTTTTTGTTTAAAATGTTTGTGTTTCTTCAAAGCATTTTCTTCCCCTGTTTTACTTTAGTCTGGTTCTGAGTTCAGAAAAAAATTGTTGTACATACCACCAAAATTATTCTGCTTGGGGAAATATGGGAACTGACTTCTGTCAGGATGAAGTTGGAGAGATCAGAAGTCAAAGTAGAATAGACTTCTTGGCTGAGATGCTGTTTAGTTGTACTTTCAACTGAAAATATTGTGTATATCACTAGCTGATCTTTGTTGATTTCTTACTGGAAGACATACTCATTATAATCCATGCCCACCCTGCTAGTCTGCC